CCAATGTACAGGACAAGCGAGTGTATGGGTACTCAATGTACAGGACAAACAAGCGTACCCAATGTACAAGTGCACAGGTACCCAATTTACAGGACAATCAAGTGTATGGGTACATACCTTGTAGGAAAAGCATAACGAAATTGTTGCTGGAAGAGCCGTCATTGAATTTCGTGTTTCTGTGTATGATCCCTAGCAGTTAGTGGTAAATCTGATAGTAAAGTTCTCTAATATCTTTCTGGGGCCCGGYTGTGCTAAGAGTGGATATCGCTAGCAGTTATCAGACGGATAAATCTAATATAGTGGATAAATTCATTGGCAAACAGCATTGACTTAGAGTGAAGGCATTTAACCCATGAAATAAAAAATACTCGGTCAACGTGTAATAGTCAAAAATACACAAAAGAAAACAATGGAATTAGGGTCTACTAAAGTGTATTAGTCTAACATCTATTTCACGGGTTTAATGACTTCACTCTATATCCACTGGATAAGGATTAAATAATTCATCGGATAGCGCTTATCAACCTTTTTTTCCACCGGGCTCACAGATCTAAAAATTTTTGATTCTTTTAGCTATTTATTTTACTTTTAAGACGTTAATTAAAGGAAAGTACGTTTTTATTGAGGGGGGAGAACTGTGGAGTTCTAAACCTTTTGAAAATTTTTGTCGCCCTCCCCTTTCACTCAGTAAGAAATTTATGACTCTCCTATTAAGTCAACAAGAAGACCGGAGCCAGACTGAATCGTTTACCGAGGAAAACGAGGGGCTAAGGCGGAAGCAACTAGGAGGGTTCCGGAAAATTGAAAGCCTCGGAAATGCGATTTTTGAGGGGCATTTGAAACATTTTATCAAGGCAACGCTGGCCTCTCAGTGGCTATGGCCCTGCCAAGAAACAGCTTTTGTCAAAACAAAGAGTCTTGAACCTTCAAAAAGTTCAAATTATTACTGACGACTCTCCCCCTCTGAAGCCCCAGCCCTCCCCCAATAAAAAACATACTTTCCCTATAGTATTAGTAAACGTTTAGTCGGGAGGATGTTTTGAACGCAGAATCGTTCGTTTTTAATCGATGGTATTGAAGTTTTTAATTGTAACATTGTGTTGCGGACAATTGAATATCAACATTTGAAAGTTTTTTGGGGATGTGGCATTTGTTTATACTCTGCACTGCCAAACCTTTCGCAACAATGAAAACGTGTTACTATTTTAAAGCTATCTTGGATGCGCCCTCAAAAGTTATTTGGGTATGTTTCCATTTTAATTGTACTTTGGACTGTCAACGAATATTCATTTTTACTACAGTAAGACCCATGTACTATGTACTTTGCTCACAATCAAGACGTGATGTTCGAATATTCTCAAGTGGATCTGTCAAAACACTTCTTGAAGACCTTGAAGCTTATCTATGTTGCCACCCTGCCTCCTCAATCATGATTGAGTATAAAGTCGTTAATTAGTAAACCCTAACTCGAGGAAAATATTCAACAAATCCTAGCTCTTTCAAGTTGTGCAAAGATCAAAGTAGGACTATATATTTAAGTCCAAAGATGTTAATTTAGCCGACAGTCAAAGCCGTTGTAAAGTTCTTATAATTGTTAACTCTCTTTGGGACCCTYCTCAATGTGGCGTGACCCTAGGTATCTTTCCGAACGTCTGCTTTCCCTTATGAAAGACTAATGACCAGTTCTCAACGTAAAAGCGTATTAAATGTAGGATACCAAGTATTGATGGTTTTCAACCATTCCCAAGAGAATTAAATAACAAAAGACACGGCGGCCATGTTGGAGGATATAACAAAAGAATTCATTGACAATTATTTTGTTAAGTTCCTCCAACATGGCCGCCGTGAAGACCATCAATAAGCAAGAAAACTGTGATTATTTTTTGTATAATATTTCAAGGGGTGAATGGTCAAATGCGGGCAAAGTCATACACTCGCCGAAGTCTAAAGTTTGCCATAATTACAGTTTGGCAGAGGACCACTTGACAAAGTCGCTGAAAGGGCTCACGTACTTTTGAGCGTCGTGCTAATGCCTAATGACATTGTAACTATTTTTTTTACTAGTGATCCATTTACAGAGAAGTTCTATCGATGGCCTGAATGTTATAATTACCAGACGTAAAGTCAACGTGGAAAAAGAAATGCTTCTCCACACCAGAACCTCGCCCTTGCAGAGGCCTTGCTCATTCTCCAATGCACACCAAGCAATTACGACCTGTAAAAAAATATTTTGAGCATTTCTTTTAAGCCAATCGTTAATGGTAAAGTTATCTAGTCGCAAATGGAATTGCGATTTTTTTTATTCTCGACTTTCACATCCCCATAATCCTTTGCGTCTTTAGGGGGTAACCAGAGGGTAAAAACCCACTTATTTTGCTGAAGGCTGATCAGACAATGTTGAAAACACCTTGTTTGGCATCCAAAAGTAAAATGAAGAAGTACAAAACAGAAAAAGAGAAGAGAAGAAGCTTGAAGACGTTTAAGGTAAATTTTAAACATTTTTTCGTAAGTCAACACATTTTCTGTAAGACCAATACTCTTGATGATCTGTACACGCAAAAATAACTTGGAATAAACTGATAATCAGTATTGTACAGAAAAAAGCAGGTATAGTATAAATTCAATTAAGAAACCTTTCAATTTGGGACAGTTTTTTGGTTACTCCCAAAAACGCAAGGCATTATGGGCATGTGAAAGTCGTGAATAACCATTTTGTATGAATAGTCCCTTATCTCATTTGGTCAATAGAGTGCAAACAAATAATCCGTGAAACACTAATTACTAAATAGTACAAAATAGTGCTAGTTAAACAATAGAAAACAATGGAATTAGCATGAAATTGTGCTATTTAGTATTACTAAAGTTTCACGGATTCACTGTGGTCACTCTACCGCTGTTTTTTGACTCATCTGCACAGGCCGCTTTAGCACCAATGTTTTGAAATTCCACAATTCCGACAGCCAGAGGATCTAAAGCTTTCTAGTTGGCTGTCGTAATTTTCATTTAGGGTCAAAAAAGTAAAAAAGGAGAAAACAAAAAAAGAAAAAAAAAAAAAAAAAAAAGAAAAAAAAGAAAGAAACTACAAGGCTAAAATATTATAATAATACTATGATATTAAATTCAACAGTATA